GATGACCTAACAGACTGAAAGCAGGATGGATGCTGGAGTTAGTGAGTGGCTAGTAAGCAGGACTTGAGAGGGGATCACTGGGAAGGACACCTGGTATCAAACTAAACGAAGCTCTGTTGGGATCTTGAAGAATCACAGAAGTGCTGGTGACTGCCTTCTTGGTGGCAGAGGCTTTCTTACCTTCAAGCCAGTATGTTATCATGTCTCCTTTACCCTGAGGAAGAAAATGAGTCATGGGGTTACAATACTACCCACCATTTGTAATAATTTGTAATAATCTTCTTATTACAGCTCAAAGCAAGTCCCAAACAGAGACTGATGTGCCTGTTAGCCATTTTACATATAGGAAAACTGAGACATAAAACTTTTCCTTAAAATATAGTGGCAGCACTATGGATTAAAACAATTCTTTGAAGTCCCATTCAAAACTGGCTCCAGCAGTAGGTAGTTCTCTTATGGAACTTGTATGATGATTTATGATGCCTCTGAATGACCTTTTTTGATTTCAAGCAGTTAAGACAAAGTGACATGCCACACAGTACTTCCAAGTTTGGCTAAGTCCTTCATCTCTGAATTACCAGGGTTGTCATATGAACAAGCCCATGGAATTGGTCCTGGTTTAAAACTTGAGTGTCCTCTCTTCAGGGACAGGAAAAAGTTTAACCCAAGGACTCTGAGACACAGAGGACTTCATGGGTTAAAATTCAGAGACTCCAGAGTACTTTCACACTCTCCTCTCTGAAAAGCTGAGTATAAATGTTGCATACACACCTTGACTTGTAAATTACCACGGCATACTAACACATACTCTCCAAGCTGCTCCAACAGCTGGTATGCACTTGAACTGCACTGTATTTTAAGAGCTGGAAAGAGAGACAATTGTCACATTGTCATAACAATTTAAACATCTAAGATAGACCTGTCCCCCACTACGTGCCAAAGACTTCAAGACTCATTAATGATCTCCCCCTTGCTTTTTTCATTACTTTGCTGTCATTCCTCTGTTACTTGAAAAGTTCGCACACAAGCTTCAGTATCCTGGCCACTTGATGAGGGCATCTCAGGACAAATATGTGGCTGTCAACACACACTACTCTTCACATCCTGCATCTAATATTATTTGTCTACTCTTCATAGTTGCCTGACTGGAGTTACTGATGAGCACCCTTTTCATCTTGCGAAGAAAACCGTACATAGTTCTACCTCCTGGTCAATAAAGAGCCAGTGCTTTCTTTTCACATGAAGTTTTCAGCAAAGTCTAAAGGTTAAAGAAACTGTCATCCTTGCTCTGTGTCCAAGCCTATAAATAAAAACAGGAGGAAGAGACGATATTACCATAATTCCACTATTCTTTTTTTTAACAATGTGATTTTTCCTTAGTTGAGAATTTATCTTCATGTAAACCCTGGCTTGTCTTGCCTTTTGCAGATAATAGAGGAAGGACTAAGGAGTAGGACAGATAGAACAAGTTCTAAATACTCCTACTTCTGGCAGAAAACAAAATTTTGCCAAAATTTGGAATACTGAAAAAAAAATATGCTGGGTTGGTTTTGCCTTTAACATTCTGTGACACAGAGTAAATCATTATGTTTCTTTTCTCGAAAAAGATCCCAGATGATAGTAGGACTGGCTAAGATTGTTTACTGATTTTTCTTATATCAGAAAATAACAGTTTTGTAATACCCAGGTTTTTCACTTGTTTGTTTGTTTAAATGTTTTTTAGTAAAAGTCCCAGAACACTCCTTGTAGACCAGGAGAGCTGAAATATATGTTCCACATATCAAGATACATATCTCGGAAATATTCTTTCCAGTAGATACATGATATTTTAACTGGTCATCCTGCTGGGAAACAAGACACTAGCACTCAGATTCCAGCTGATAGCAATTTGGGGGTCGGCCTCTTCTCCCTGGTAACAGATGATAGGACGAGGGGGAATGGTTTGAAGCTGTGCCAGGGCAGGTTTAGGCTAGATATTAGGAAAAAACTTCTTCACCGAAAGGGTTGTCAGGCTCTGGAATGGGCTGCCCAGGGAGGTGGCAGAGTCCCCATCCCTGGAGGTATTTAAAAGAAGGATAGATGAGGTGCTTAGGGACATGGTTTAGTGGTGGGATGTCAGGGTTAGGTTAAAGGTTGGACTCGATGATCTCAAAGGTCTTTTCCAACCAAAATGATTCTATGATTCATTTACATTTCTAGTAAGTAATTAATCTATTTTAAAGTGATTATCATAGGGTTAAAACATGTTAATGTGATTTGAGATCCTCAGATGTGTGTGGCTAGATAGGGGAGATAAAAGAAAAGCTTAAAAGATAATAAGCTCTGTTTTTATACTTAAGTATATAGTGTTGATGAGCCATGTGAGAAAAGGATTGACATACAGAACAAAATATGAAATATGAAGAATGATGGAAGCAGATTTTGAAGGCTTTAAAGAAGTTCAGATGAGATGATACAAGGAGCTTGAAAAGAAGAGGAGGAGAAGGAAAGGAGTTATCTAGGAGACTGACAGAAGGAAAGTGAAGTTATATGTATTTCACTCAGGCTAGCATTTGCTTTGGAAAAATATTTAAAATCATGAGAAGGACTGGATCCTGGTTGATTCTCAAATCCCTACACTAAACCTTTAAAGCCATCATGTAGGACCACTTCTCTGCCTTCCTGCCTTGTTTTTAGTGGATCATGATAGTTGTTGAAAGCATTACTTTCTATCATGAAATTGAACTTGAAAACACCTTGGATTTTGCCTAATTCAAATCCATTTATAAAGCATTGCAATGTGAGCCATAAAACTACTCAGCTTCATTTCATGAATGAAAGAAACAAAACCAAGCCATCAAGCTTGTTTGTGCTTGAATCACTGCTTCAACTTTGGGTTTTTTTTTTTGTTGTTGTTGTTTTTTTTCCAGTTCTGATAGATCAGGCTGAAATATTTCAGAAGTTGAGGTTCAAATGCTCATACTGGCTAAAGATAAAGCTGGCTAACTAAACATGGAGCTCTGTTATCTCCTGGGAAGAAGTGAAAATAAGGGTATCCCCATGATTTAATCTCTAGAAATTTCTGTCTAATCTCTTTGCTGGAGGACACATATATAATCTTCTATACTGGTTAAAGGCAGACACAGCTCCCATGGCCTCCTACCATCTCTTGTGTTATGCAGTAGAGGAAGTTATTGTCAAAAAAGAGGAGTCATGAAAATATTTTTACTATAAATTCAGCTGGGTGCCAGGAAGGAACAGAAGCAGTGAACATACCCACTTAGCTCTTATTTTATCTGATTCTTACTCTTTTTTTTTTATTTTAGAGAACTCCAAAGCCATGAAAATCCCTCTTTGAGCCTTGGGGAATGAGGGGATCTTGTTACAAAAGATGTAGAGAATATCACTGGCATAATTTGCCCATAGGTAGATTGGACACAGAAATCAACACCTTCTTTACAGGATTTGCAGTCATTTGAGCAGGACAGGGCTCAAAACTCAGCATAACATTTTTTCAGAACTCATTAAGGGATGGTCAAAACCACATCTGCAGTTTGTTCCTTGTTACCTTCACTGGTAGATTCCATCCTGGAAGCTGTGTTCACAGTATCTCCAAATAAACAATACCGTGGCATTTTGGTCCCAACAACTCCAGCTACAACTGCCCCTGTTAGAGAAAAAAAAAACAGATATTTTGTGGTTTTAAATAATGTAATCAGTCATACAGCCTCCTGGCTGCTTCCTACATTACCTTATATCTCATTCACTAACAAGATAAAGACAATGTAAGTATTGTCTTATATGGGTTATACATCTGACTTACAGATGGCTTCCGGAGCTATGGAGGGAATTGCAAAAGGGCCTCAAAGGAGAATGGTGGGGAAATGGTGATGGGATGGAAGTAGTGTGCATGAATTAAGGCACCTGCAGAACCATCTGTCAACACAACAACAGAATATTTTGAGAGGCAGTGAGATAGGAATGCCACCAATTGGAGTTGTACACACAACATTCACTAGTGTCATGGAAAAGCAGGAAGAGGAAGTAATCTGCTCCTGCTGAAGGCAGAAACTGAGCATTTTGATTCCTTCATGTCAGCCCCAGGGGATTTAAAATATAGAAGATGTGATCTCTTGCTGAGCCGATATAAACCACTTAATTTATATATGCTGGGCTGCACAGCACATGTCCAGCTCTGGCTGCCTATCAGGAAGGAGTTGCAATCACACGTCAGCTTTGGTCAGGGAGCTGGGAGTCTGAGAGTGAAGGCTAGATCAAAGAGTCAAGAGCAACTCACTGTTTTGAGAAGAGAACAGCTGAAAAGGACAAGTAACAGGCACAGAATGGCAGTCCTCACTCACATCAGCAAAGGCACTGGGGGCCATGTGGTGTTTCCAAAGTTGTATTCTGAATTGTGTTCCCAATATTCCAGGTATCCAATAATTTATTCTGTTGGGGTGATCTCTATGAGGTGTTCCATCCCATGTCAAGAAATGAACTTCATTTTTAGTGGAAAGGAAATGCCACTACAGAAACAGGACTCTTTTTCAGCCCTCTCAACATACCTGAATGGATTCCTGCTCTTATCTTTAAGAGGGTGTTTGGCTTGTGTGGGATCTTAAAAGTCTTGCAGATGTCCAGAAGGTCTAAAGCCATGCTTGCGATCTCACCGGCATGAAGGATCCCATTTTCTTTGGGTACTCCTGACACCACCATATCTTAACACAACCATGCAACTGTATTAACCTTTGGCATTACACACAGATTTACCAAAGAATGCTGCCTAAGTTAGAAAAAAATAAAGCTCTATTGCTTTACATCCTGTGGCACAGTTGTGCCTGATGAGCAAAGAAAGCGAGAAACAAATGAAGGATAAGGCACAGCTGATGCATGTAATTACCCTAGCACTGAAAAGTGTTGGTTTTCCTTCTTACTTTTCTGTAAGATTTATTCCCTCCTACCCTTTCTTCCTCCCTCCTTCCAATGAGGGTGCTTGAAGTGGGACAGGTAGTGGAAAAGTGGCTGTTCAATAGCTTTTGTCTTTGGGCAGATATTATAAAGAGAGACAATGATTCCCACTAGACATTGTCCTATGCTTCCTGCACTGCTTCTTACTGTGTAGGAGAAGAGAAAAGTCTCTTCAGGATGCCTCACATACATTTGTTCACAAATTTTATGCTCCAGAATATGCTCAACCATGCCACAGAAAAAAAAAAGAGTGGGGTTTTTTTTTCCCCATCTTTTACAGGATTTTCTGTCTGTCTCATCCAAAAGTCCTGCTAGATTCTGCTAGGTTTACAGTGGAACTCAGTTTTTATGGTAGTCAATCCCCAGCAAACAGAAAGCTAAAATCCATAAAGAAGAGGCAGCCAAGCCCCTACAGAGTACTAGGAGATAGAAGGTTGTCATGGTCTTTCCCAAAAAGACAGAGATAATAAAGCTTATGGAGTGGCATCTGTGCTCCCATGTAGAAGGTGAACTTTTCAGTTGTGTTCCTGTGAAATGGAAGTTGCCAACTGGGATTAATCTGTTGCCAGGGTTTAATGTCAGACCTTATAGATCATAGTAACCAAATAAATAGCAGTGGTAGTTTGCTCAACTCCTTTGTCCCAACCACTGCATTCATCATTTGTAGAAATGGTGAAAGGTATGCAGGAAAATGTTCCTAAATTTGTTATGGCTCTTCTAGGACTTCTCCCCTAGTTGCTTTGTGTGGTCTTCCCAGTGGTATTAAGCTTTCCAAATCTCCTTCATCTATTCTTCCTTGTCATCAAATTAGTCTCTATCCTGATGAAATACCCATGCCCCATCATTGTCCACAGCTCAAGGAACTTACAGGCATCTCCTATTGTCTCCACCTTATAGACATCATAGTTATCTATGATTTCATCAAAAGTGGTATAAAGCTTGTTCAAGAGATCTACCACTTGGTAAGGTGTGCTGCTGCTGGACAGCTGTGTGAAGCCAACAATGTCACTGTTAAAACACAACAAAAAGAATAAACTCATCCACTGTCTTAACCATTGCAGACTGGCAATCCTAAGCACACAGTAATAACTTCTCAGTGGAACTACCTCAACCTTCTCTTTTTCAGTATTTCTTTCACTAAGGATCTTACAGAATAGTTTTGTCTTCAAACATTTACCTAAAGTAAAATCAGACTCCTTTCATTTAAAAGGACTCACTGACCTAAGTCCTTTTGCTTACCAATACAGTAAACCATTTGTTACAGCTTGACTTCAATCTGCAACAGACTAAGTAGTCTTCAATTTTGGGTTATGTACAAATGAAAAAGGGAACTTAATATCTGTCCATTTATGACAAGTGAAGACATGCAATTTGTATGTTGCTTCATGCACACATAACAAGTCAAAGACTGTAAACCCATGTGGGTTCTAAGGATAGACGAGTTTCCTTTACACAGCTAAATGTGAGAGCCTTTACCTAAGTCTATCTTATGAAACACACATAAAGTGATGTGCTGCTGTGTGTTAGACCTCCACAGTAATATCATTTTTTTATTTAAGTAATTCTAAGGAAAAAATGGAGCGGTGTGATAATGTGATAATGTGTGATAAAGACACACATTTGCAGAGTCAAATGTTGCTACCTGGTATGAAAAATGGCCATTTAGATAGAAACTCTGTACTTGGTTAGGAGCTTCACCTCCACTAGAAGTTTCTTCAGTAGTAGTCAGTAATAGTCCTATCTTTCATTTTGTTTACCTGAAAAAGATGGTGGCACTTAAGTAACTTTGAGCTTGTGCATGTTTTCCCTGCCTGAGATCATCTGCTACTTGCTTCGGCAACATACCTGTTGTAGAAAGAAGAGCACACAATAAACAGAACATGTTTGTTTAAAGGTATAAAAGCAGTGTTTGTAAATGTGAAATATTCTGAATGTGGAAGCACTCTTTAGCATCAAAATCTGCTCTGCTGTAAATCTCACTGATAACAGGTCCAGATTTTTCAAATGATCCATAAATTTTAGTTCAAACAAACAAGTGTCTATACATTTCAAGTCAGAGTAAGGTTAGATTCTAATAGTGTGACTTGGGATATTACTAACTCCTTCTTTGTCAACTCTTTGCTACTGTTTTCTTCCCATGTTAGGTTTGTTTACTATCTATCTCTTTTATGATTTTTTTAATCTTCTTTATTTCTCCTATCTTGCCCTTTCACAGCCTTTTCCTTTTTCTCTCCTATATGTTATACCCGTTCATTTATCCCTTTTTTCTTGGAGAATTCTAGAAGATACACTGCCATCAAGAGTAACCTCAGTCCAAAACCAATTCCCCAATATTTGTAACTATACAGAAGGACTGCCAAGCAACATCAAAATGAAAGCACTATGGATTCAGGAGTCACAGCTCTTAGACGAGTGCACTGATTTTTAGGGGAAAACTATAAAAAGTAGCTTTTGAGCTTTGCAAAGAACAAGTATATTAATTCGTTGCCCACTAAATGTTACGTATTACATAATCACCTATCAAAGGGTTTCTGTTTGTAATTAGACACTTAAAATCAAATTATTATTGAGAATAATATCCAGTATTTTTGCTATATAACTTACTATACAACAGACGATCAGTCTTCTGTTTTTCATGCATTAAATCCTGGGTTCTCTCAGAAACCAGTATCTCCAGATGTTTGCTATATTTCTCCATCTAAATAACAAAAAGAATTGCATAAAATAATCTTTTTACTAAAACAGATTCATAATTGGATAGGATTTAAGCATTAGAATAATTTTGCTTTGAAAATATTCAAATAAGCAAAGGCTCAGGTCTGAGAGAGCTAATATTTTCTTACAAAATCCAAAGACCATATTTCTCCCAAGGAAAATTTATGATTCTGGATTTGAGATTGTTGCTTAATTAAGAAGGCAGAAGCCAATTCCAGAGTTTTCAAAGTCCACATAAGCATTAGGAGCCAAATCCAATGCAGAGACCAAGCTGCAGACATGGATTAAAATATGTTACCAAAACCAAAGGTATCTAAATCTCAATCGTTTATCAAAAGCTCACAATGCTGTTTTGTAAACTATGCTATGCTATGCTATGCTTTCTTCATCCTTGCTCTGTGTGAGACAACAGCCTGTGGAGGCAGGAGCCTTTCTTCTCTGCTGATGGGCTTAAGATACTCTGCTCAAAATGCATGTAAACATGCTCTTTGTGGCATGCAGGGATTATATACACCCAGCACTGTAAGACCACCACCGAGCCACTGCAAAAGGGCTCCTGAGACTATGTTAAAAAACTAATAACCTTTGACTGAAGAAACAAAAGTGTTCATCCCCAAGGTTGAGAAAGTTAAGAAAAAATGACAGAAATGGAATGAGAAGGAAAGTGGGTCTCAAGCAAAACTGCAGCTATGACCAGCCCCCCAGATGTGAATGAATGATCGTGGATTTTCTCGTCAAACAAGGTGTATGAGATCAGAAAATAAACCTGAAGGATAGAGGTGAAAATTACTGCAAGTGAGCAGATTGATTTGGATTAGATTAAAAAGCTAAATTTACCAGAGTCATCATCATGTCAACAGGGCTAACTTTATGAGGATTCATCTTGTACAACATTTTCTTGACTTGTTCAAATGTAGGCCTTTGGGCTGGATTATTTTTTCTGCACCTTCTGATTAACTGCAGCAGGGAAAGAAAGTGAGAAAAGCAAACAGCCTTTTGTCATTCCAAGCACAGGCAGTGTTTCTAATTAATACTACTATTTTCTCGGTGCAAACTGTGCATGCGAAGCCCTATCTGCAGCTGGTGAAAAGTGGCACGGCTATACTGAGGATTCTGGAGTTTCTACAGATTTGTGCTGAATGAAGGATGTTAGTTCATGAAAATGCTGCTGGGGGAAATCATGCATTAGATGCTCATATCCCTTCTGCCAAACACTGCTTAAACTCTTGTACTTTAAAACACTGTTACGCTGTTGGAGTCACACACTGTTCTAGAGGACTTGTCTGCATATGAAATTCACAAAAGATTAAAAACCCAACTACTTCATCTGAATGTTAACTCCGAACTAAAATCCAGTGTTGCTTATGAGAAGTTTGTTACATTTAGGTTACTACAAACGACCAAAGGTGAATTATATAGCTCTTAAACTGAAACGAAGCCAGGTGCCACAATCTTGTTCCAATTTAATTGAACTGGGAGGGGGCATACTTTGTTTTATTAGGCAGTCTGAGGCTTCTGAACACATAGAGCTTTTCCATGTGAATCAAATCAAACTCATACTATGCCTGAGACATACTTCGCTATTTGAAAGTCCTTTGGCAGTAAGCTAAATAGGTATTACTAATATAAAGTATGTATGGATCTCAACACTTTATAATAAAATGAAAATGCTCAGAAATCAATGATTGACTATTAAAAACATAACACTGACAATTTGAGGGGACAACTGAAACTTTCAATCTATTAGAATGACTGGGTTTTTTTTATTAAGAATATTAAAGCATTTAATTGTGCCTTGTTTGAGACATACTTCCTGACTTCTGGGTTGTTTACACTTATCAAAGGTAATATTGCTATAAAACTTCAGTGACATGTCTAAAATTCACTTCGGTGAAGAACTTGTACACAATATTATCTTACTCACGTCTATGTAATCTGTGGGACACGGGCAAGAATTCTCAGCCTTTCCTGAAATTAATTCTGCCAAAGGTGGGCACCAAGAATATTCAGCTGAATGCACTTCATCTGTCTAGAGAAAAAGGGATTAAGCAATGTTGAAACAAGTGGTGTTTTCATACCACCCACTGAAAATATATTACTATGATCATCATTATTTTTATGGCATCTTCCAGATCAGCTTCTTTATATGAGTACAAGAAAAAGAAAAAAAAGGCTCTAACCCAGTCTAAACTGGGTGGCCTTGTCTAAAAGCTTTTTCATGGCTGAATGATTTTACTCTGAGGTAAACAACTTTTGAAACAAATGAAAACCTGGCAAGATATTAGGAAACTTTTGTGAAACCACGAGGCCCGCACTAGTCTATTATCACAAACTGTCAGAAACGAAGAATGGCAGTTTCAGGTCTTCATTGTTAGAATTCTTGTTATGCAGTTTATTTCAGACAGAACATGGCTGCATATCCAGAACACCTGGTTTCAATTTCAAGGTGCATTTTTTGTGTTTGCCATTTAGCACCGATCACAAGACACGTGCAAAGAAGACATTTTCCTTACGGAGAGCAGCTCATTTGATCTAGCAAATTCTTACTACTGCAAGACTCCACTGAAAGGGCCTGTGCGTGGCAGAACAGGGAAGGCACAGTGGGAGAAAAAGGAATATATTATGGCATACCTTCCCTCTCCACCCCCCTGCCATTAAGCCTCACAGAGTTAACCAAAACGAAATTTTGTAGCTAAATTATTTTGTCATAGACTCTTCTTTAAAGTCCTGAAAGGAAGACTAGTAGATGCATGAGGAAGCCCTGACTGCATGTCCCATTGGAACTGAACTTGCACCCACAAAATCACGCAGAAAATGCATGCTCAAAAAAAAAAATCAAAGGTGCAGTTTCTCAGAGTTCCGTTTGTATCTTCAGCATAAACAGAATCAAAGTTGTCATGCAAACTTCGAAGTTCATCTTTACTTACTGGCATAGGGTCACTTCTTGTGGCAATTTCTAGTAAAATGATGGCATAACTGCAGAACAAAGGCAAACCAAAATCTTAATGAAATAACAGTTGATGGATTCAGAGATTTCTTTCCATGATTTCTTATTCTTCCCCATATTATGACTGAAAGCCTAGTATCCCAGAACGGAGGATGGTAACAGTGCTGGTTTTGGAGGTTTTGGAGATCTGTCATTGATCATTTCATAGCAGTCTCCTCTGACAGTTATCAGTTTCAGAGATGAAGCATTTGAGTTTGATGGACAGCAAAGCAATTTTCTCTGGAAGAATTATTGGAATCCAGGCACTTCCATGATAACCACCAATTAAACATACAGGACAGGTTTGTGCTGGAATCAAGGGGCAGGAGCAAGCTGACCAGGATCATCAGCTGGAGGAGTGGCTTCTTTTCAGCGTAGATCACTGTTCTGGAATATCTCCATAAAGTCAATGATGAGACAGTGTGCCCAGAGTAGATCTTTTATGAGCATCTTTGCTTGTTCTTCCTGAATTATATTTTCATCACCATCATCTTCCTTAGATGAACCAAGATCAAACACGTTCATCAAGGGATGGAAATGGAATGGAAAAAATGCGGTAACAACTGGGTGTTCAGTCTCCTTATTGAATTCACTAGAGATCTGTTAGAACAGTGATCTCTAAGAAGCCAGTACCTCCTCCAGACAGCAATCCTGATAAAGATGTAATGAAACTGTGTAATAACCAACTCCCCGCATGCATCTCTACTTGGTAACATTTATTTTTAAGGGGAATATTGGTTAGCAATCTGTTGTATTGCTAATAGTTGCTCAGTTCTGTAAGGCAATCTAGCTGTGTAATGGGGTATGTCTGTCTATCTTTCAGTCCACTCATGGACCACTACTGGCAACTAAAATAATGCATATAAACCATGCTGAATAATGGCAAACTTAACTTGATGAGATTTTTATGTTAATTTGGGTGTGATTTGGTAGTAGAAAGGAATACCAATCCTGCTGATATAGTAAAGCTGAAACAGATTTTCAAGGAGAGTAATTAGATGATGGTAACTCTGATAATACAGTGTTGATTTCATTCAGCTTCAGCAGCACTTCTCAAAAAAGTCCTAACCTACTGGACAGTGAAATTCACATAATGATTACAAATCAAGAGGAGCCAATCTAGGAGAAAATGTGATGGGCAACAGCTGGTTCAGCTCAAACGGGAGCTGCTTTCCTGCTCCTGTTCTCATTTCCATTTTAGCTTTCCCATCTGACCAACACATTCCCTGGAGAACTTTAAAAGCAAGTGATTCATCTGTAAGAACACACAAAATTACAAGTCCCACTCCTGCAGTTTCTACTCATTTTTTATTTGGGCCATACCTTCAGGAACATTAATGGATTTTTTGCACATATAAGAACAGGATTTCAAGACTGGGACACTGTTCCCTGGCCAGCAAGCCCACATACATGTATAAGGAAGGCTCAGCACATGCTCATATCATCAAACACAAAGCCTGTTAAAATGCAGGTTCTGAAGAATAGCTCAGTTAAAAAGAAAACCCTTTTTATGCTACAGGCTACATCTCTATCTTTCTTGCCTGACAGCATGTTGCTCTTCTCCCTTTTCTGATTTCACCTCTGACTGGTTTTTTTTTTTCCTTTTCACCAAGAAAGGATTAACTGCAGTACAACAAAAGAAGACCTGGATTTTGCAGACACAGGGACTGACAGCAAGATAGATTCAGAAGCATTCACTGAAACTCTCAAAACTTCATTGTAGTCATCTATGATATGAGCAAATCAGCTCTTATCACTGTTTTAAGGGGAATCCTTGGCAAGAAATGGCTTCAGGAGGCCAGGTTGCCTGCAAAGTCCAATAATGACATCTAACCTGAACAGGGGCAAAGTGTGAACCAGACAAGCACCAAGGAAAAAATTTTCTGGAATGCATTTTGGCTGTGGTGCAATGCATAAGACAATTCTAAAATTCCTGCTAAATTGGAGCACAGTACTTTCTAAGACCAGCCCGTGTTGAAAAAGTAATGACTGACACAGGACAAATGACAATAGCCAGAAATATCAACATAGTGACAAACTGCTTTTAGCTGAGCTGTTCTTAAGCAAATTCTAAGGGCATGTTTAAGCCTACAGATATAAATACTATTGAGACCTCAAATTCTTGCCTCTGTAATCTGATAGAATGAATTAAAATTAATAATGTTCTAGGACATTGTATATGCATACATTTCTTTACAAGGGAATAATGTGCATTAATCTAGTAAATCCTATCTATAAAATCATGTCTTCAGTCATGTACATTTTTAATGTATTCTAACTGAAAAAAAGGGAAGATTTAAACAGCATTCTCTGTTTCTGCAACTATTTTTTCAGTAAAAGCCCCATAACAGTCACTTAAATTTGTTGTGGCCTAGTGCAGGTCAGAGTAAACTCAGAGCTTGTGATAAAAGGCAATAGAGCTACTCTGTGGTAGATGTTGTTAATAAACAGTGCTAATAACCATGCCTTCTTCTGCTCAACTGTGTTGCACTATCAGCATTTCAGTCTTTAATTGAATTCCAGTTCTTTACATTCTGCTAGCTACCAAAGTCACCAAGAAATAGACGACTTCTGCTGGGCTGGGAATGTGGCAAGAAAAAGTAAGAGAAAAGGGCCACAAAATACTCTGCATTTTCCCCTTTCCAATGCTTTGAGCAAACTACTGGAAACAGGCAGACAGAGGAAGTATCATTATCATGAAATAGAATACACCAAGAACAGAGTAATTTTCTTGCTAATGACAGAAAATTCATGTGAGAAACAAGAAATATAGGTAATTTTTTAAAAAAACTGGTTGAATGACATTTTCATTGGATTATTATTTTCTCAAAATTCAATTGTAATCCCACTTATCTTAAAAGTGGTGGGATAGACGCTATCCACCACTGGCAAGGCTAAACCTGATAGCCAAATAAGCCATTGCAAAGTGATCTCCTAAACAGGCTTTCAAAAGGAAAGGGATGGAGCTATTCACTAGTGCCTCCATTTCCTTTTCCTACCTCTATTTTTCCTCTGCTAACCAAATATTATCACTGTGTGTATGCAGCAAAATACTGTATTGACACTAATTATAGAATTACAGGATGCATTATGGGTGCATTATGACATCCTGGAAAATCGATGCAATTGACTTTTAAGGTATTGCCATTATTGAAGATAATCTACTTTTTCATAAGAAACAGAAGTAAAAAAGATTACTAGATAATAGCAGATCTTTATACCTTTTTTATCTACCTGTCCAGAATATCACCGTATAAATCATTAAACCAACTCTGCATTTATATAATGTCAGTGAATTCAGCATTTGGTTATTTACCTTGAAAGAGGAGATCCTGTGATATCTATGCTGTTCTGTGTTCCAGGATCAACCCTTTTTAAAATACAATCAAACATATACTTGGGGTGACCACAGAATTACACTGAGCCTAATTGTGATTAAAGAACACTCAAATTGAGATGAGATTATTAAGTGTGAGAAACAGGAAATGTTAACTACCTGTAGACATCTGTCATAGAATTGGGTTCAAAGTCTGAAGGGGAATCAATTTCGGGAGCTGTGTAAATCTGTATCATATGCTGCTGGTATGAGCTTGACCCCTCACGAGAATCTTCTTTTCTGTACGATTGCAAACCATAATCTAACATGGAAGAAAACAAGAAGCAATCTATTCAGTGGGTAGTCCTCTGAAACACATGCATTAGTATACAGTAACACAACTAGTCTAAATGAATTCATTTTCCCTATTTGAAATACACAGCTTAGTCTAAAAATAGTGTGTGTGTGGTGGTCTTGTCCCTCTAAACCAATTGCAAATATGGGATCTGGAAACCAAATAATTGGTTGAGACTTTATGACAGCAGGGAAGTTGAACTACATGGCCCCTTCCAATCAGAATTATTTTATGACTTTATAAAATTATATTCAGAGAATAGGCTCATTCAGTGCAAGAGTTATCATGCAAAAGCAGGTTTCTGTTCTACTTGTCCCCTGATCCTTATCTGTGGTGGCAGGTTGCTAGAGTAATTAGAAGTTAGACAGACTAGAACTGCTGAAAATCAGACAGTGGGCTTTTACTTGCACACCACTAGCTTCAGAACAAAGGCAGCATAAATGTGAAATATCTTTGCAGCTATACTTTTAGCCTAACATAGAAGAGATTCTCAGCATGTGACTCAGCATTGAAGAGGAGAAAAAAACATCTGACTCAGTTTTCTTTCTGATATAAACAGCACTCTGCAGAGTGTATGGGAAGGCAGGATGCAGTTGTCTGGTTTTGTCTGGAGTGACCTCTAATTAAGATGGTTCTAGAGCTTCATTCTTTATGTTGGAGGTCAATGGAGTTTTTTAAATGGCTCCCACAGAGGTTATTTGTGAGGTTTGTTTAACATTATCACATCTAGATAAACCATGAATATTTGAAGTCTCTACAGTGCTACTATTTAACTTCTGAACAATTTCACAGGGATCCCATTTAATTCAGAGGAGCTGTGCTAAGGTGATGCAGTTGATGTAATCCAACTATCTCAATTTTTTATACTTTTCTCCAAAATGGGCTCTAATCAAAGAGGCCAGTTCTGAAGGCAGCAGGATACTAAATGAGTTGGAGAAGGTGGCATGGCCCTGAGTAGGAGCCTTGGTCATAGGATGAACCATTGAAAGACAAATCTGTTGCTGCTGTCTTTAAGATGGCTGCAGGTTATAGAGTGTGATAACTACTTTGGGGAGGAAGTAGAAGAGATGATAATTGCTTTCGTTCCCTTTGGCAGCTGCAAACTAAACTAGACTGTCCAGTGGTTTTCCTGTCCCCACAGGCTGTCTTCCTGTGCTCCTGTGCCAGGAGCAGACCAGACCTGTAACTCTGTCCCTGAGAGAATACAATTCAGTTCTGCATACAGTACTGAAAAGCTCTGTGTTGAGTCTGCTTTTCTCCATGAAACAACCTTGTGTTTACCAATCAGCATTATTCCACGTCTTTACAGCACTGTCCATGGCTCAGGTTCTCTCTCTGTATCAAAAGTGAAAATGAGGCAGAATTTCTGCTCAGACTGATGTTGATAGACTCCATGATTTGTGGGATCTGATGTGTACATTAGCATGTTAAATGGCTTGACAAGATAACGTAACATGAAACTTGCTTCAGCATGGGGCCCTTCTAGCAAAGGCTGATACAGTCAGCAATTCCACATGAATTGTCAACATGGAGGTGCTTGGGAGGAGTGCTAAGTGTGAAATCCATATGCATTAGTGGGTTAGATGGACAGTTTTTAAATTGTGCTTCTTATCTTCTCTTTACCTGCAATTTTACAAACCCATCGGTCATCGATCACACAGTTACTAGACTTCAACCGTCCATGATACATTTTGTGGTGGTGAAGATAGGCCATTCCTTGTGCAATATCAGTAGCAAAAGAAAACCTGAAAGACAAAAGTCAATGAGCTAGTATTTCCACTACGCCTTCACTCACGAGTGGCTCCAAAGCCTATTGAAGTTGACAGAAAGCCTCCCTATGACTGCAATAGTTTTCAATTTGAGTCCCCATACTCATTTTTCCAAAACACATAAGGGGGGTTGCTGAAAGCCCTTTACTCCCAATCAGTTGTCTGAGTCCACAGGCCTTTAGCCTCTTTTAAGACAGTTGAGTTTCTTCTAGAAATTCTCAGTACATTTGTATCCTTGAGTGTGATTTCAAATGTTTCCAAGAGAAACAATTTTTTATTAACTTTCTCACTTTATTTGGCAGGTTTCCTCCCTTACAATCTTTTTCTTTGCTGAAGGCAAACATAAGGTAGAAGTAGAAAAAGTGCGTCAAGAAGATTATTCTCAAAAAACAATGTCATTGCCTTTGTGGAAGTTTCATTGACAATATGAGCTCATGTTCTCTGTTGGTAAATATAACAAAGCATTTGTAGGTATGTTAACTGTTTCACCAATATGTGTTCACAAACAGAGATGCAATGATTGTTAATTATATCAGGATGCCCAAGATATTTGGGAACAAAATATTACATACGAAAAATATTGCATATGAAAAAAGGTTTAAAAACAGTTTTGCACTATAATTAGAGATGCGTTGAAAAGTCATCGGCTTACTAAAACCAGCGCTAAACATATGATTGCTCAAAAATCCAGAAGACAAATTGGGCTGGATACTTGAATTTGCTTTCTTTCTTTCTTCTTCATTCTCTCCATATCATAGTGCAGGCCAGTCTATCCAAATTTATTTTAGACTTTATCTAAAATTAACAGCACATAGCACAGTTTGTGTCATTTAGCTTTTCAAAAGTTTTTTTCTACCTGAAGCCCCAGTTCAAAGGAATGTCTTCATTGAGCAGAACATCACTCAGGCTGCCTTTGGGGCAGTACTCTGTCACGATGGCAACATTTGGCACTTCTATACAACCTCCAATGAATTTGCAGAGATTGGGATGGTCAAGTTCCCTGTGAAAATCAACAGAAATCACAGCACATCAGCAATTTTCATGGATGTCCCTCCTGCTTTTTGTAGGGTAACTGGAAAACCAAGTGCCTTGTCTCACAATGTAGAGAGAAAAGTGAAACAGGCATTAGGAGATTTTGATCTGGTGTCAAAGCAAAGTTTGAAAGAAAGAGGAATATGAATATAGAGTCACATTTGGACAGATTGTAAACCCTAAAGAAACAGTGTAAAAATGGAACAACATACACTTCCTAGGTTTCACTTCTTACCTCACTTGCTTTACTTCTTTACGTATGGATTTGGACAGTGTGAATGCCTTCTTCATTATTTTCTTTATGGCCACTGTTCTACCATCACTGAAACAGAATGAAATGCTGTTCACAGAGTTTTAGGCTTCATAAACCTAAATATAACTATATAACCTATAACTTCATAAGCCAGTCAGACTACAAAAATATTTTTTCTACAGTGGACAGCTTCATACCTCTAGAGACGAGGCACAGAATTTAAGTATGTCCATATGTGGGTGTAAATCTGAATCTGAGTACATGACAAGTGACAGGACCCTGTTTCTACGATAAGTGAAGCATTAGCTGGATAACGGAGAAGCAGCAAAGGAAATGTCAGAGCTAGGGAAACACACACAGCAAGATCCCTGCTATCCATTGCTTCTGTCTACTGTTTTGCGGATCCACCACTGATATTTAACATCCTTTTGTTCTCATCAGATAAAGCATTCTCAGTGATGAAGCAGCTGAATTTGATAGAGAGCAAAGCAATTTTCCTTGGAAGAATAAAGGAATCCAGTGGAGGTATATGCAGGAATTTAAGTGATACCCACCATATAAATATAGAGTATGGGGTCTGTGGTGTACCAGATGTAGGTGCTTTGCCAATGAGACTGAATGACCCATTCTTAAATCTCTTATCCTTGATGAATATGTTTGACCTTGATTCATCTGAGGAAGATGATGATGATGAAAAGGTCACAATTCAGAAAGAAGCAGCAAAAATGCTCACTGTAAAAGATTTATGCTGGACACAGTGTCTCATCAATCATCTGGCTGTGTTCTTCCAGAATACTGATCTGTGCTGAAAAGGCAGCTGCTCCCCCAGCCGATGAGCCTAAGTAAGCTCCTCTACCCTGCAGAGCACACAGATCCTGCCCTGTGTATTCAAATGGTAGGTATTGCTTTCATCTTTGTACATGTTCCACCCCTAATCCCTAATTATATTATTTTTATGAGAAAAAATGCTTTTTGGATAGCAGGATATGTCTATACTGTTTGCCCGTATAGTTATATGATGTGCACCTTTACAATGTGGTCCAGAGGTGAAATGCTCTGTATCTTCAGACATGTCAGATGGTTTAAGGACAAGATTTCTAATGTGCTACTGTACAGGATGCCACTCTTTGGTACAAAGAACCTATCCGTGCTCTGCCTGCATTTTAGAAAAGAGGCTGTGTGAAAGCCTTGGTTCCAAATACATTTGAACAGTAAGGGGCATTCATTAACAGATGCAAGTCACATTATGCGGCCACAGACTTTTAACAAGTCCCCAGTAGAAAAAGAGAAATGACAACCAAACCAGAAGCCTGGCATATAAAATATTCCACAGCCAGTGTGTGGTAGGGAATTCAGATGATTACATTAACTTACTAGATTTGGCGTAACAAGAGAAATGCAAGCTTTTGCACTACCTATCAACAGCAAAGTGTCAAGAACCAAAAAGCAAGGTAGAAACTAAGGTAGTGCAATAAACGAGTAATGCATTGACTTACTATCTCCCTGTCTGGGTAAAGTACTGTTTCCTGGACAGGTTAGCAGCTGCTGTGCAGGAGCTCAGAGCAGTGATACAGCTGGCACTGGAGTCACTGGGTGCTGGGGGAGCACTCATTATGCTGCTTGTTGCGGTCCATACTATGCAATCTAAATGGGATGACAAAAAGCACCTGAAGATGCATATTACTGCAAAGATAGAGACTCCAGACCAGACAAATACAGAGAATTCTCCAAATCTGTGCATCTCGGTTGGTCTTGTTAACACTTAAGACAGAAAGCTGTTGCTTGGAATCTGACTGCTGCATAAAAACTACAAAAGTTCCAGAGGTGATTCATTGCCAGAGATCTTTCCCACCAATCCTCAGGATTTGATGCAAGTTTCGTTTCTCTGCTCTTGGTATGATTAGCCCTTGCTGCTACTTAGATGCTGAGGACAGAACCCAGGGAAGCACAGCAAGCCCTGTGCCATATTTTAACAAGTCTATTTGAAGCTCCTAGAAGACTGTAAAGCACAGGGATGTGGGAAGTGATTCTGACACCAGAGGGAAGTCAGAGAAGAGCAACAATACCGTCAGATGAAAAAAAATCAGTGATCTCAATCTATGTTTTTTAATCTCTGTTGGCCAGCTCAAGATAACAAAATGGATTTCAAAACAAATTTAATTAATTTCCTATCATTTCAACATCTCCAATTAAAATCCAGATTTGGCCAATTAGTCTCAGCATTGCTGAAACCTCTCAACTCTCGCTGGTATCAGCATCCAATAAAGTGTTGCTGAGGAAGTTCAGCATCGCACCTTGCATCAGGACTGCCATGTTCCCACACCATAGTATTATCCATATGCAGTTCAAAATTGAGTTGACATTTGGAGTCTTTCTACAGCATTCCACCCAGAAATATATTAGAGATCCCTGAGATAGCTTTGAGAGTAAGTGTGTGTGTATATATATTATATATATATATATGGTGCAATGCACCAAAAAAGGAGTTAACTTAAAAAAATAAAGCTAATTTTTCACAGTACAGTCTACCCCGGGTACAGCACTGCTGATGTGTTTCCATTTAGATAACTGTACATTACAGCTCTGTCCAGAGGAGACATACAGTTTGTTTCCAAATATCATATTATTAGTCCTCATTACTCTTAAGTTGTTCGTTATCACTCCTAAGTCTTAAAAAGTATTGTTGCTTTGCAGGCTCCTCTCCAAGAAAACTATGTCCTTCATCTTGTTTTTTTCTAATTCATTTTTAATGTGTTATTTTTTGATCATGCTTCTAATTTCCCTCAGTCTCTTCCTTGTTTCTCCTCCTGTGTTATGTTTATAACCTCTTCTGATTCACTATCATCAGGCAAAAATTTGCTCATGATCCCTTCTGCAATATTGAAAGACACTTTTTCTTGAGTGTTCCATTTCTGTTTTCACAAATCTGGATCAAAATTTGGTTTGGTTTATGTACTAAAATTAATTTCCAAGCCAAAAACCTATTCTTTACAGCAATGACGATATCGTATCAAAACAACATAGAAATTAATGTTCAAGTCCAAGGATGAAAGTATCTCTATATTAACATAAGAATGTCTTGACACTTCTACTAGCAACACAATGACATAGCACAGATAAAGCAGACATGTTTCTAGCAATTTCTCACAGAGACAAAGTGAAAGATTGTACATCAGCACAGACCTATCAAATTCAGCAAATTTCTACAGATTTACCCTTTCTAAGGGTCTAGGCATTGTTTTCCTTCTGAATGCTAAAACAATGAACAGCAAAGTAAATAATCTATACCTGTTTTAACTGCAGAACAGTAAAGCATATAATAACATCTGATTTTATTCTTAACATGTTTAATTAGAAGCAATTAAATCATATTTTATATCCAGAAGGTAAAATGAAAAAAGATCTGGCTGCAATTAATTACTTTTTGCAGGAAGTCTGTCACAGATAGATAGCACACAGTGAAAGAAATTAAGATCTCATTATATCCCTCACTATATTTGTGCAAATCCAGGGCAACTTGGTGAGACCAATTACACAGAATGATACATCAACTGAAGCAACTGTAATTTATTTTGTCCAAGTCCAGAGGTTAACAGTTTATTTTTGGGATAGGCCTGTCTTTTTTAATTGATAAATCACCATAAAAAAGAAGGAAACTACTTACAATAGCTTTGATATCTAAAGTTTCAATGAACAAATATATTAGTGACCAGCTCACGGAGGTTACAGGGATGAAACTTTGATTCACCTTTAATAAGACCCTTAAAACATGAAGATGTACTTACGATTGAGATTATTTCTCAAAATTATTAAAGAAACTGATCACACAATCAAAATGACAAGTTACTAACCTTGTTTGATGCAGGTGAAGTCTATAATCCAGCTTTCATCCCAAAACATCTTTTGTTTCTGATATTGAAACCACTATAAAAATAAATCAAATTCATTGCTGATGTAGCCCTACTGACTTTGAGGGAATTAAACCAGAGATTTTTTTTTTTTTTTCAAAGATGAAAGTTTATAAGTATCCAAAGAAAATCTGATGCTTAAGCATCCAACATGTATCTTATGAGTAACGTTAGAACCAAGAGTATTAATAACAGGCTTAGAAAACAGCATCTAATAAATATCTTAAAAACTGTACATTCTATATTCTAGAGTCTAATTACATGTCATGTTTTGCATTGGCTACAAACCCTACATTTACATCTCAGCCTGAGCATCAGATGATTGGTTTACGTCACCTCATGTCATGGAAATGTCCTATGCTACGTAAGTGCATGACAATAACACGCTGCATTCCAACCCCAAGATAAGGAGCAGTACATCTTATATTCTGTAACAGAATTAGCCCCCCCCCAAAATGAGATCATATTATGTAAAATACTCTAGCATAAAGAATATTAGGTAGGGATTCCGTGGCTGCTTTGTAAAGAAGGCATCAATCTAATAGCTGATTTTTTGTAGAGGTTACCTGCAAAACTAACACAGAAAGTGTAAACACATGCTTTCAAAAGAGGAGCAGCATATTAAATTACAAAGCTGTCATAGCTGCAGTCAGTGCCAAAATGCCAAACCAAAGCAGCATTTTACCATCATTACACCATTTTCTATAGTGTGGAATTTAATTTTAGGAATCATGCGTTCACTGAAACAGGTAATAGAAGCCCAGATAATACGCAAGGAACATGGTGTGGAGATTGTGTCAGTATTTTGGTAGAAATTTATGACAAATATAGAACTCACTGAATCAAAATTAAGTTATCCCATTTTTTCCAAAAGGTTTCTGAGAAAAGACATCTACATTTTATCTTGCACAAGTATGATTGAACAAAGACATATTAGCTGGAAGTGAGCACCAGAATCCTCTCCTTGAATGATTATAGAAGGCATTAGTTTCCCACATGGTTCTTTTTACATGATATTAATTACTGAATTGGATAAAAGGATCTTTACTGTCTTGTTTACTTATCACCTAAATAGAGCATTAAAAAAAAATGCTACTGCAGAAGTTAGCAGGAATAAGTATACAGAAATGCAAGAAGAAAAAAATAAACCTCAAAACCTACAGAAAAATAGCAGAAAAAATAGGTAAATTTTGCTAAAAGACCTTTTGATAAACCCATGCAAGGCCAAGAAACTCCACTGTTTTTTCTAAAATGCCAATTGTTTAAAGGTGTCTGAACTTCTCATGTCCAATTACACTTTTCTATCAGATCAGATGGTTTTACAGGACAGTTACTATAAACACATTGTTACAGCTGCCCTGTGGATTATAAATGCTCTCTCTATATTATATAATGCACTATAAACAGTGCTTCTGTTCCTAACTCACTAAGCCACCCACAGAGGCACAGAATAGAGAAAAAATCCAACTGTGATTCAGGCCTCCTGTAGTACCTTACTCAGTGGGCCACCAGGCTTCTCCTGATCATTCCCTCTCAGGGCACTTGCCTGCCTCAGATGCTCACTGCAACTGCAGTACAAGATGGAAAGAGAAGGAATCCCTGACGGAAGAGGAGCTTATCGATTTACAGGATTTATAGGTCTTTTATTAATCACTTTGAACTGAACTAAACTGGTTCAGTTACACTAAGAAAATGAACCAATTAAAACCAAATCAAACCGAAACAAAATGAAAAAAAAGGAAACATCCTCTTATTATTTCTTTTGAGAATATCCCAAGTTGAATGTTTTCCATTATAAATTGTATTTGGACTCTGAGATTTAATGTCATCTGGTGGAGCTAATCCCTTTATGAATTTACATAATTTGTTTTTTCCATTCATTTATACTTCTGGCCTCCATAGGGTTTTGAAGCAGTTAACTTCGTAACAGAGTTTTATTCTGAGTGAAAAGTACTCTTGCTCTACTGTCACCCCCTAGTTGCCATGTTGCGAGAAATCTCTTCTTCCTTTACCATTATATATCCATACCTCTAGTGCATTCCTCTTCAGCCTTCTCTGTTACAGGATGAAAATTCCTACCCAATGAGCCTCCCCTCATAAAGAAGACAAAAAGTTTGTTTCTCTTCCTTCTGCTTTCTTCCATAGCAAATGGGTTCTGGATGCAGAAGAAAATCTATCCCTCTACTAAGAGAGAGCTCCACTCTGACTAACAAAAGCATGGAAGTAAGAGAAAGCAATAGAAGAGGAGGAAAAGGATACTTACCATGACTGTCAAAATGAAGCCAGTGCAGACTAAACATATTGGTAAGGCAATTGCTATCCTAGCATCAGCAGACAGTGGGCATTCCCCGCAATCTGCTGGACAGATAGAGCAGCCTTCTTCTTCCTCACAAAAGCCATCTCCACAGACTGATTAGAAAAGGAAACACATATTTATAATATATAGAACAAAATCTTTTAAGGCAGTTTCATCCATCCACGAGGTAGTAATCAGATTTAGACACATGGTTCTTCAGCTGGGAAACCTCAGACTACTGGATAGAGTACATTTTGAAGAATCGAGAGATAGCTCGATAGCTCTTTCAGCAGCTGAAAGAATAATCTGAATTTTTAAAGTGATACAGGATCTCTTTGATCAGATTAAATTGTTAATGACATCAGAGCCTTTGACATGCTTTGTGTATAAATCACTTCACCCATAGTCTGTTTCTCATTGTCCATCTCTTTTTTTTCTGAGACTTAAAGTCTGTCAAGGTGGGGATTGTCTTTTGTATTCTTTGTACTTAATCCAGCTCTTGAGATTCCCAGGAGCTGGTGACCGTTCCTCAGCAGCAGCAGAAGACACTCGGTACTGCAGAATGAAACCTTGCAACCATACTTCAAGGATTTCCTTTTCTCCAAGGTCTACTGAAAATTACCAGCAGTATTAGATGTGATTTAAAACAAAAGCCCTAAAGGACAAAACTCCTTCTCCCATGTCCTGAATGGTGTTTCAATTTTACCTCTATGACTAAACTAATATCATGCTGTACTTCAGCCTTCTGAGATGAGCTGAAGGTATTATTCTGTCAGTATGTAATGTATTTTTTTAAAAAAGCCTCCGCAAAACAAAATCCACTGCTCAGTAATAATTCTGCCTCAGTCCATTTGATTCCAGTATAATAACAGGATAATCACAGAAGTCACTTTCAGCCTCAGAGGTAGAACTGCATTTTAAAAATTTCATTTCTGATAAATTGTAAGTTTCCTGGAAAACTAAATTGCAGCTGTCTTAAAATGAATAGTAAATTCTATAGCTAAATACTTCCATCCACATTGGAGGTGTTTTGTGGGTTTTTTTTTTCATAACATTGGGAAATAAATTCTCAAACTTACAGAAGAGTAGCTAATAAGAGTACTGTCATGAATTTTACCCAGTATTTTTCTTCGGGTTGTGACTTTAATTTATTAAAGTCCATTTCTTAAATTTTACATTGCTAAGAGAACTGTTACGGTTATTTCTGCTTCCCTGCATACTGCTGCACTACAGTGGGTGAAAGACTGATGCCTTTGGGAGCAATTGAATTTTAATGTGAGCAAGGGAACCAAGATGGTTTTCTACCATTCCAATAAGCTTAAGGCTAGTCTGCCCCCCTTCAGATGAAGAGCATCCAGATCCTCACAACATACTAGCTATAAGAATATTTTCAGACCCCCATCAACTAGACACAGGCCTTGTAGTACCTGAAGCCACTGGTCCTGGTATTTGACTTTACCTGTTTGACAAGAGTGGCTTCCTATTGTTCTGGATTCATACACAGATTAGAAGCTCAAACACTTCTTTGGATATTCAGTGTTACGTGAAGAATTTTAGGATGATTTTTGTGTATTTTCAATGGTAAGGGGCAGTAGGAGTCACTTTTGCTCTTGGTAATCATGCATGAACGATAAAAGCACTGAGATTTGCAGTCAATAAGCAATTCCCTTGCATCTTCATTTTATATCATACCTACTGCAGGAAGGACTGTGGTTTTTGCTTCCAGAGCAACTTGCATTCTCCCAACTCTGATGTGTGCGATGAGAGAAGTCACACCCACGTGAACTAAGACAACCTGCCAAACAAGTGAACAAAGCAGCAAGCATCAAAACTTCACTCACATACGGTAGGCTATTATAACAACAATTATCCAACTGTAGTGTCCTGTGAAAGAATACGTGTATTTTTTCAGAATCAGGAAGGACAGGTATCCTTAACTGGGGAGACAAAGAGAAGCAGGAGATGCAACTCTTGTGGGAAATGCAGGTCTGATTCATCTCCTGGTGTGTATTCTTTTCATCAAGCAGGGCTTCCAGCCTATGCATTCTGCCATGTTTGCTTCCCTGTTACTTCTGCTGGGCAGAAGTTCCCTAATGACCATATTAACCTGCAACACAGTACAGTCAGTAGTGCAATATATTGTTAGTGTAGGCCTTAAATGGACCGATCAGGCTGTTCTCTTCCCTCCCATCCCCATTACTTCTACTAACTGCCTAAGGAGTAGTAGTGTGAAAAGCTGTTACTTCCCAGTCAAGTAAGTAGGGAATTGATATTAATTAGCCACACGCTCACTTACACATGTAACACTGAGAAATAAATGAGATGGGGAACATGTACATGATCTGCACTAAACTGCTAGCAAATGTCCTGGTTTCGGCTGGGATAGAGTTAATTTTCTTCATAGTAGCTAGCATAGCGCTGTGTTTTGGATTCAGTACCAGAAGAATGTTGATAGCACACTGATGTTTTCAGCTGTTGCCAAGTAGTGCTCAGACTACTCAAGGACGTTTTGAGCTTCTCCTGCTTGCCCAGGTGCATAACAAGCTGGGAGTACAGCACAGCTAGCACAGCTAACCCAAACTG